TACAAACACCATTAGAACAAATCATTCTATTCATTAAGAGAATGCAACTATATATCTATCCCAACCACTTTGAATACACAGATACAAAATGGGCATTCATAGTTATACCCCATTTTTTTTAAGTTCCGTTATTGAATATTATAGGTGTGTCAAAGTTTATTCTTGATGTAATGCCCCCAGTGAGTGCCAGACATGGAAGGCGGAGCCTCTTACTCTACTCAAGCTCCAAGACTGCCCGTCTCATCTGGGATAGACTCTAAGGGCCTCGGCATGCTCCCCAAGGCTCCTGGTCTGCCACCATCCGATCTTTTCCCAGGCAATTTATGTAATACACTACAGAATTGACTTGTCTGTTGTGTCCATTGTTTCTTGTCCACACCAGTAATCCTGTGAGCTAGAACCGTGTTGGGTAAAGAACGCACACTTGATAAATATCAGTGGGCTAAATGAATGAGAGCACATGGATTTGAATCCAAGCCCCCAACTCACCAGCTATGGGACACTGGAAAAGTCACTACACTCCTTGAGCCTCAGTTTCCTCATCTGTAAAGTGAGGCAATAAATAAGGACCACATCCTAGAAACAGAGAAGGACAGAATTTAAGCCCAGGATATGGAGACTGCTGCTGTCTTCGTGAAGGCAGGGATAGCTGCATCTTGGGAACCCCAGCTGGAGAGACTCTCTTCCCTGTGTGGGTCACAAGCCTGCGCTGGCTGAAGCTGGAGAGGGCAGTGGGAGGAGCCCGCCTTTTGAGGTAGGGAGAGGGTGGGAGGTGAGACCCGGAGTAGTAGGCAGGGGGTGGGCCCTCCGAGGTGGAGGAGGGCAGGGGGCGTGCCTGGCCGCCCCAAGACCTCAGGACTGGAGGGGTGGGCGCTACCCCTCCTCGCAGAGCACCGAAGCTCAGTTGGTTCAGGAGTTGAAGCCCGGAGGCAGGAAGGTGCCCCTCCAACCACCCAGGAGCCGGATTCTGCCCTCGGAACGAAGCCCGGCCCGGCGCCCAGGTAGGCACGGGGAGGAAAGGGTGAACGCGGCCGGGGATTGTCCGCGGCTCTGGAAGGAGGTCTCGATCCCCAGCCGCCCCTCCAAATCAACCTTCTCCAGGGGAGATGCTGGGGAGATGAGGGGTTGGGTCCTCCGCCCCCGTCAGGATGCTTCCTCGAGATGGGGACAGGGGAAGTGAGGGCGCTTCTTTCCCTCTGCGGGGCGAGGGCGGAGCTTAGTGCACCGCTCTCCCACCCCCGGGTGGAGGGGACCCCCCCAGGGGAGGGGCTCCGGGCGAACGCTGCGGGGCGTCTCCTTCGCAGTCCCGCCCGCCCTCCGGCCGCCTCTGCCGCCGCGCGCCGCAGCAGCGCCGCCTTCCCTGCGCAGTCGGTGTCTCGGCGTCGCTGGGTGAGTGGGGGCGCCCCGATAGGAGCTGGGGGATGTGGGGAGGGCAGTCCCGAACCGGGGACCAGGTCCAGGGCTCCTCCACCCCGCGGTTCCCCGCGCCTCTGGGAATTCCTCTGGCCCGGAGTGAAGGGAGCGGTGGCTCCCCTGGGCGACGCGGGCGCTCTCCAGGGTCCTGACCGCTGCGTGGCCAGCCGGGGGGAGTCGCTGCTCGGCCGCCCCGGAGCGCCCCCTCCCGGAGGGGTCACGCGCAGGACGCGCTCTGAGCGCAAGAAGAATTGAGGCGGGGGCTCAGCACAGAGGTGGGGGAGGTTTGGAGTGACAACCCGGAGACGGTTTCTCAGGTCGAGCCATGAGGTTTTTTCTATTTTGGGGTCTGGGGGGCTTTTTGCGGGGACAACAGAATCTTCTTCCAACTGGGAGGGGCAGTGCTGAGGTGGTGGGAAGGAGGGGGCACTGGAGAAGCTCTCCTGCCCAGCACATTTTTCTGCCCCCGCCCTGGTGACCCAGTTCCCTGGACCTTGAGGAAGGGGTTAAGAAACACACTGCCCTGCTCAGCGCAATACATTTCCTCGTCCCTTCCGACACACCTGTCCTGTGGGTCCTCAGCCTGGGCCAGAGGAGGCTGAGCGGGGGGCGGAAGGGCACCAACTTACAGAAACATGCATGTGACACACTGCTGAGGACATGCACAGGTCCCCCACATGATCACATAGCGACATTCTCTTCACGCTGTGACCGGTGCATACCTGCTAACATGCACATGTAATGCATATAAGTGGTCATAGATTAAAACACAGAAAGACAAAGGTAATGCAGAACCCAGGAAAACACATGCATGAACACATGCGTTCTCATACGTGTGCCCACCCTTATGTACACAAGGAACCCCCTTGCCCTCTCTCTCCTCCCACATTCACGGGAGGGGTCACCTGCACACGCTCCTACATCCCTTCCCCAAATGATTGCTGGCTTCCCTCCATTGCATTCCTTCTGGCCTTGCAGTCAAACCTCTGCCCTGAGGAGACCTTTCAGGATTAGAAAGGGGAATGTTGGGGAAGCATTGGACGGGCTAGGCAATCTCCCTGGAAAAGGGGCCTCCAACAGGTTTGAGAAGAGGTGCAGCTCCCTCTCCTGGGACCTGACAACACCTCTGGACAAAGAAAGGAAAATGACAAGGGTGCCTGAAGGTCCCACGTGCAGCTGGCCATGTGAGAGGTGTTGGCATGTGAGTTGGCGTGTGCTGGCATGTATGAGACATGTGGGGTCGTGGGCTGGTATATCTTGGTGTGCAAGGTAGGGGGGCTGTGTGTGCTGCCGAGTGTCAGTACCTGTGAGTTGTGGGTAAGGGACGTTTCCTGTGGAGGCACAGTGACCCACAAGCAGTGCGGGCTGGTATGTGAGTGGCATGGGACCAGGGTATGGGTGTGGGGAGCTGTATAACATAATAAGAGTCAGGATAGATTTGTTTGCATATTGTTTCACAGGATAGTTGTGCTACTTGTGTACATGTACGTTTGATTTATGTAACACGTATGTAGCACTTGTTATTGGTGTAGGCATGGTTCTGAGTGTTTCACATGTGCTGTTACCTCCAACAGTCCTGTGAGGTAAGTGCTATTATTATCCCCACTCTACAGATGAGGCAGAAAGAGCTTAAGCAAGTTGCCCAAGGTCACATAGCTGGTAAGAAACAGAGCTGGGATTCACATTCCAGTGATCTGGCTCTGGAACCCAGAATAACATCCGTCCTATGCTGCTGCTTGTCAGGCACACCTGTCGGAGATGAAGGAGCTCTGTCTGGGTCACAAGTGTATTCTGGGGGAGCAGGAATGGGGAGCAAGGAGAGGACAGTGATAGGAAAGAGGACCAGAAGGCCTTTCTGCACCTGCTTAAGCAACTCAGGGGCCCAGTCCTGTCATGCAGTGGCTGTGTGACCCGTGTAGTTTTCTGAGCCTGACTTCTTCTCTGAAAAATGGGGGCTAGCTCCAGACTCCCCTTTTATGAGGTGATAAGGTGTGTACTTTGGAAGGCGTAGTGTCTGGCCCAATCGGTGGGAGCCCCTTTCCTTCCTCCTCTGGTTCTGTTCCCAGGAAACAGTGTGGAGTGGGTCATAGGGGCAGATGCTTGAGTGCAGGTGCTAACACTCGGCCAGTTCCTGTTTTGCTGGGTCAAAAGAAGTTGGGGTGTTCAGGGTCCCTTCTGGAGGAGTATCAAGGAGGCAGGAGGGCCTGACCCCTCCTCTCTGTCCCTTGACTCCCTGGGGGATCCAGGTGGGACTTGGCTTTGCGGTCATGGGCAAGCAGAACAGCAAGCTGCGGCCAGAGATGCTGCAGGACCTGCGAGAGAACACAGAGTTCTCGGAGCTGGAGCTTCAGGAGTGGTACAAGGGCTTCCTCAAGGACTGCCCCACGGGCATCCTCAACGTGGATGAGTTCAAGAAAATCTACGCCAACTTCTTCCCCTATGGCGACGCCTCCAAGTTCGCGGAGCATGTCTTCCGCACCTTTGACACCAACAGCGACGGGACCATCGATTTCCGGGAGTTCATCATCGCGCTGAGTGTGACCTCCCGCGGCCGCCTAGAACAGAAGCTCATGTGGGCCTTCAGCATGTATGACCTGGATGGCAATGGCTACATCAGCAGAGAGGAGATGCTGGAGATTGTGCAGGTGGGCCCGGGCCCCCGACTGCCAGGCGCAGGCCCAGCAGCTTGTTCTCACCACCCCCCCTCCGCCTTTAGCTCTCAACAGACATGGTAGGCAAGTAGTGGCAGATGCCACTGTCACAATCCCATTGACAAAATGACTGGTTTAAAGGAACAGTGAAAAAAACTCTGTGTACCCTTAGTCCAGAATCCCCAATTAACATTTTGCTTTATCTTTATATTCCTGCAATGCTTTCTTGTTGTTCTGAACATTGACCCTTTACCCTTAGGTAAAAGACGTATTTCCTAAGAATAAGGACATTCTCTTACATAATGTATAATATGATTAGCCATGTCAGGACATTTGACGTGGAAATGATGCTATTATCTAATCTACAGACCATCTTCCAGTTTTGCCAACTGTTTCCATAATGTTCCCTAGAGCATTTTTTCCCATTGTCTAAGATCAAGCACTGTTTTTTTTTTTTTGTTTGTTTTTGTTTTTTTCTGAGATAGGAGCTCACTATGCAGTTCAGGCTGGCTTTGAATTCACTTTGTAGCCCAGGTTGGCCTTAAACTTGAGCTGATCCTCCTGCTTCAGCCTCCCAAGCAATGGGATTATAGGTGTGCACCCCCTTATGCATTGTTTTGTTGTCATGTCTCCTTAGTCTCCTTTATTTGTTTTTTTCCGTATTTAGGACAGAATCTACAGGATCTACAGGGTCTTACTATGTAGATCGGACTCATAGTGATTCTCCTGTTTTCAACTTCCCAAGTGCTGGGATTACAGGCACACACCACCACGCCCAGTCTCAATCCCTCTCAGGGCACCCCTTGGGGCAGGCTGGCACAGCATGCTGGGGATTGAACCCTGGCCGCTGTGCTCTGCCTAAGCGGGTGCTTTAATCCACTGAGCTATCAGGCCAGCGCTTCCTTAATCCCCTTTAATCTGGAATAGTTTTTTAGCCAAGTCTTTCATGACTTGACATTTGTGAGGAGTAAATGACCATTGTGTTTTATTAATCCTCATTTACTCAGGAGGAAAAATGCTCAGAGAGGTCAAGGCACTTGCTTGAGGCTACACAGCCCGTGAGTGGACCAGTGGACTCTAATGCACACAATGCATATGGATTCTCAGCCACTGTCCAACAGAGGGGCCACCAACAACCCACTAGCCAGCAAGCTGCTCTGTGCCCATGAAAGCAGTACTTCCTTACCACAGCTCCAATGGCTCAGAAGGTGGAAGGACTTGCCCGAAGTCACATAGTGCTTACGTGGAATCAGGCTTAGCTTGGCCACCACCTAGAGCTGCTTTTTGTGAGGCCTCTGGACTCCTAGTCGGGAGTTCTGGCTTCCAGTTCTGGAACTGGCCTTAACTCTTAGGTTGCTCATCTGATATGACAAGATTTAGGGACCTACATGAGTGCCCTTTCTGAGCACAAACTTAAAGTGTGATAAGTGTTAGCTTTTTTTTTTTTTTTTTCTTTTTTGCGTAACTGGGGATTGAACTCAGGCCCTTGTGCTTACCAGGGAAGCACTTATTCCACTGAGCTACCTCCCCATCCCCAGTGTTGGCTTTATTAGGAGAAGTCTTGGAGCTGGGGAGACAGCTCAGTGGAATAAGTGCTTCCCTGGCAAGCACAAGGGCCTGAGTTCTATCCCCAGTTCCACAAAAAAAAAAAAAGAAAAGAAAAGAAAAGAAAAGAAAAGAAAAGAAAGAAAGAAAGAAAGAAAGAAAGAAAAAGAAGTCTTCCAGAACACTCATCTCCTTAGCCAGCCTTGAAGATGGTCAGGGCCTTGGTTCTCTTTGGGCTACCTGGTTCCTTGCCCACTTCCCCCTAAGCTTTTACAGCTTTTTTCACAGTAGTGGGGGTGTTGAGTCCCAGCCTGTTGCAGGGATAAAGCGGGACAAGCGTTCCAGTACAGGGTCCTGCACTTTCTTGGTACTCAGTAAGCATTAGCAACTGTCAGTCATGATTTCTCTGCGTATCCTCTGCTTTCGTCAAGATGGCCTTTCAGCGTCCTGCTCTGTGCTCTGGGCAAAGCCACTGCATTGCTTTGCATGAGCCCTTGCTGCTCTTCTGCTTCTCTGAATCTTTTCCCACCCAGTCCCTCAGTCCTGCAGACTGCTTTCCCTTTATCTCATCCTGCCCCAGTTGGACTTGACTTGGGCCTCTCTGGCTAAGTCTGCATCCATACTCTCCAGCTTGAGTGGAATGGCTGCCTTGGCAAATGACGCCCTTCCTGTGTCTAGTGCCTTAGTGTTACTGACTCTTATAGATCAGGTGTTAATTCTCAGTTACTGGATGCCAGGAACCTCTGGGGTCCTTGATACATGGGTCAAAGTAGACAGGGTGGAGGAACACCATGTAGCAGCAAATCCAAAAGAGACTCATGTTCTTCCACTGAGCATGAGTGGCTGCACCAGTGTGTGCTGGGAACTCAATCCTGCCACAGCCCCCACTCCGTGCAGCAGTCAAGCTAGCCCCATTTCTCGGTACCCCCAGGACCCCTTTCTGGTTGGTCTGGCTACAGGGCCCTGGCTTCTGTGATGGCAGACACAGGCCTCAGACAGCTGGTGCACACAGAGCTCTGCAAAACCCCAGTGCCTGATTAATGACAAATAGGCTCCAGAGAAACTGTGATCAGGCAGCAATTCCAAACAATTAATTAGGAGGCCCAGGAGAAGGGCTGTTGCAGGAAGCATGTCATTGCTCCGTCCTTCTCAGGACCCAGTCCCGTGCCAGGAGGTGGTACAATGGGAGAGGAGACTGTGTTTCCCAGGGCTCCCAACCTAGGGATAGAAATCATTGTGCCAGCTATGCTGACCAGCCCAGTGACAGAAGGTGACATCTGGGAGCCTGGGGACTGAGAGATGAGGGGACGGACTGAGGACCTGGTGGATGAATAATGTCTATCATATAAGGTGATATTTAGTGATCCCTTCCTGTAGCCATCCGTGGTTCTAGTTATTGTATCTCATTTAATCTTCTAGATAGTCCTAATAAGGAAGACAGGGTTACTCCATTTTACAGATGGTAACTGGGGCCCACAGAAGTTAAGTATTTGTCCAAGGCTACACTGCAAGTGAATCATGGACCAGAATGGTACTGCAGGTCCATCCCACGCTCATGCCCCCCTGCCCAAGCATTCTTCCAGCAGCTAAGAGAGCCGGTTCAAATTTGATCTTTGCCATCCATTCCTGTCCTCAGCCTTGTTGTGAAATTTAAAATAATGCTTATAAAGGACCTGGCAAATTGTGATTTTATTTTATTTATTTATTTATTTAGCGGTACTAGGGATTGAACTCAGGGCCTTGTACTTACCAGGCAAGCACTTATTTTACTGAGCTATCTCCCCAACCCTGATTTTCTGATAAATGGTCGCAAGTAGTTTTATTCCACCTAAAGACTGTGAATGTTGGGAAATCCGAAGGGTGCAGGGGTGTTTGGTTGTGGTAGGTTTACCCCTCTGGGGAAGGCTCATGGTGGTGAGGTCAGAACGGGCAAACTGAGAAGCATCTTGAATACCAAGGACCAAATGATTCGGACTTGGTACAGAACACAGTAGGAGGCACCACTGGCCTTTAAACATGGGAGTGCCTACCAGGCGCTGGGCCTGCTTCTGAGCATGTGGGCACTAGCTAGTGTCAGAGGTTCTTCCCTATATGGTAGGGACTAGTGTAGACCTATAGACACATAATTACTTCCGGAGAGGGGTCCTCAAAGGAGAAGCCCCGAGGCGCTGGCCTTCGCATGCGCCCTGACTCAGCCTGGGTCAGGCCTCACTCAGAAAGCACTGCATACACTGAGCCTCGAGGAGGAGTGGGAGGTAGCAGAAGGAGGTGGGGCAGCATCCAGGAGGAGCTGGGTGCACGGCGGCCTGGAGGGTGCCCGTGTGTGACGGAAGGGAGTGAAGGGCAGCCTCCCCGACGGGACTCAGCAGTGGAGATCTGTGTTGCAAAAAGCTTCAGAAGCAGTGTGGGGACAGACCGAAAAGCCAGAGGCCAGAAAAGACCAGCAGAGAGGGAGTAGCTGACCCGCAGGCAGGGGAAGTTTCAGAGCTGAAGAAGGGAGACTTTTTGGAGGTGTTAGTCTGGAAAACCTGGAAGGTTGAGGCGACAGATGGGGTCCTTGAGCCCCAGGACGCAGGGACCTAGCCAGCCTGTCAGTGCTATAGGCCAAGCACTAGGTGCTCTGTTCATTTAGCACGACAATCCTCCTGCGCCTCGCCTCAGAAGCTCTTGCACGTGGCAGCTGCAGCCCTCAACCCAGCAGAGCTCGGGCTGTCCCTGCCCGCTGGCAGATGCTCATTTGCATTCGTTTGCATAATATTCCCGCCCCTGTGGAACCCCGGCTGCCTCAATGCGGCCCTGCGCCCCCTGCGGGCCACAGACGGTAACGCAGTCCAGTGTCCGTCTTCCCCCCACCCCCCGCCCCCTTTCACCCCCTGGGTCTGGCGCCCTGCAGCAGTAAAGTGAGGGTTGCGAAGGGCCTGATTCTGAAGGGGCAGTGCTAGCTCGTACCCACAAGCCCAGGTGTGAGTGCCGATGCCCAGCGATCTGGGCCTTTGGCCATTTGGGCCTCGACGCCCTCGGACATCTCGTCTGATTCCCTGCACCCTCCAATTCTTGGGGCCGTTCGGAGCTTTCACGCTGCGTTCCTTTCCCACTTGGCCCTCCAGGGACCTAGATCAGGAGGCAGTGGACCCCACCCCAATAGCCCCCTCTTCTGGGAAGCCTTGCCAGGGCCCCAAGCTTTCGGGGACCCCCTCTACCTAGCCGGGCTGGGTGAGCACTCCGGGGCATTCCCGAGGCTGGGAGGGGAGCTCGTCTCACGCCTTGCCTTCCCTCCCGACCCTCAGGCCATTTACAAGATGGTTTCATCTGTGATGAAGATGCCGGAGGACGAGTCGACCCCGGAAAAGAGGACTGAGAAAATCTTCCGCCAAATGGACACCAACAACGACGGTGAGGGGTGGGGGGCGGGGCGGACGGCAGGCAGCGCCCCCTCCTTCCCTCCTGTGCCCCGGGCCCCTGCGTCTGCCCTCACTGCCTGCCTCCTCCCGCAGGCAAGCTGTCCCTGGAGGAGTTCATCCGCGGGGCGAAGAGCGACCCGTCCATCGTGCGCCTGCTGCAGTGCGACCCCAGCAGCGCCTCCCAGTTCTGAGGAGAGAAGACAGGCCCCCCCATCCCTGCCTTCACCGGTCCCACTCGGCTCTCAGCTTCCTTTCCCTTGTGTCTACCCAGGCTGGGGGCCAGACTGGGACCCGCCCCTGGTGGGTCTGCACTGTGGGGGCCCCTGGAACAGGGACCCTGCAAGGAAGGCGCCCAAAGCAAGCTGGTGTCATCCCCCTCTGGCAATGGCAGTGACAGGTTCCGGCATGGCTGCCCCTCAGAATCAGGAGTCCTCTCCCTGACACCTGGCCATCTACCGCGAACCCCAGCCCTGAGGCCAGACCCTTTCCCAACCGCACAAGGCTCAGGCTCGCCTCGCAGGGCTCAGCCTGGGGGCAGTAGGGAGTCAAGCTCAGGTGACTCAAGCCTGTCTTTTTACTTGGGGGGAGAGAATTCCAGGGCTGAGGGAGTTTGAGGAAAGAGCTTCCTTGAGCCGCCCTTCCCTGCAGAAGCCCCCACACTTCCTGCCCTAGCTCCTGCTGGCCTCCGGGCCAACACAGATGGAAACCTCCCCATCCCAGCTGCCAGCTGTGGGTTCCCTGAAACTGCCTGCCTTTTGCACTCGGATGCACTCAGATGGACGCAGCCAGCCACAGACCCTCTGTATTGGCCTCTCTCTCTCTCTCTCTCTCTCTCTCTCTCTCTCTCTCTCTCTCTCACACACACACACACACACACACACACACACTAGCGCGCGGGCTAATCCCTTCTACCAAGTCCTGTGTGAGAAAGAAATGCAGGCCCCTGGCCGAGCCCCACCCCCGCCCTGCATGCAGCCATTTGGAGCATCTTTGTTCTTTTTAATAACTTCCAAATAAAGTTTCGTTTCAGTGCAGTGGGCTAGGTGGCTGGGGCCAGGGGCTGAAACATCCCTCCTGGATCCCCAAGGGTCAACTGAGCCCTCTTGGGCTGGCTCCAGGGATCCTGGGGCCATCTGGAACTTGACAGCCATTTGACAACAGTGCAGGCTTGGTTGCAGGTCCGGTGGCCATGGGGCTGAATGAGGCATTGGCTCTCAGAGGGTGAGCGGCACAGAGCTGGTGCAGCTCATCAGGTTGTGGCCCTCCACGGGTTCTGGGCTCTGCACCTGTGGACACACAGCAGGCTGCTGCCACTGGGTCTGGCCTGGGGTCTGCTTCAGGAAACCAGGGCCATTGGAGTGGGGGGGTTATCACCACCCTGTGGGCAACAGTCCGACCAGACCCCCAGAGCATCCCTTGCGCCAGGCTAGATGCTCTTTGCCCTCCCTCAGCACTTGTTCTGGAGCCAGGTCCCAGCTATAGCTGGAAATCTGACCTTCTGAGTCTCCAAGCCTGTCCTTCTAGTCTGGGGCGAGAACCTGTGTCCTCCTTCTCAAAGATGGGTAGAGCACAGGAGCCTGAGCTCTCCAGCATGGGACCCCAGGTAGCAGGTGAGTCACGACTGGGTGGGGACTTACCACATGGTGGCCACTTTTCCCCCACCAGGGCCTCAGTTCCAGCACCTGGTGGGTGAGCTGGATGCAGCGCACAGCAAACACGCTCTCTGCCACACAGAGCACTAAGGAGATGCCCCACAGGCACAGGCTGGAGCTCTGCAGGACACAGGGGGCAGAGATGGCTATCTGGGACTGGGGCTGGAGGGCAGGACTTCCCCAACCCTGCCCACTCCATCAAGGGCTAGGATGCCCCCATCCCAAGCCCTGGCACTCACGTAAATGCGTGTGGGGTCGAAGGGGCAGTCAGGTGTGAGCACCAGTAGTTCAGGACTCCCGAAAGTGCAGACAGTTAGCAGTGCCCGGCCCTGGGTGGCAAAGGTCACTGCGATGGAGGCCAAGAGGCCAAGGGCACAGGTCAGCGTGAGAAGAACACAGGCTATGCTAGAGCTAAACACGGTCCAGCGCTGGACAGGAGAGGCCACCAGTTAGTGGCTATCAGGCAACTACACCCCCCCCCCCCCCCTGCCGCCATCATACCAGGCCCTGGGCAGCAGCTGCCACCCCAACTCTACAGCCCCATCCCAGGAAGCGCTGCCTACCAGAACCATGCTGGGGAGGTAGCGTGACAACACGATGACTGCGATGCCAGAGGAGATGACCTGTGGGGGAGGCTTGGGTCAACTCCGACCCTGTGCCGGAGGAGAGCAAGAAGTCGAGACCAACTTGGAATAGATTCCACTAATGTCAGTCTCCAACCCGCACCCCTCACCCCATGCTGAGCTTGGGCTCAGGGCCTCCATCCAGAGGCCTTGCCATCTCATGGCCCAGCCTTGAGTGTTATTTCTAAAACAGTTGCTCCCTGCCTACAACCTTCCGTGACTCCCCACTGCCTACAGCTGCATTTGTCTTGTGTATGCCAGGCCTGCAGGGTCCTACTTGGGTACGTGACACATGTGACATAGCTCCCTGCAATGGAAAAGACAGGCAAAAACAAAGGAACTCAACTAGCAGAGAACTAAAGCCAGCAGAATTCAAAATCCCTAGGAGACTTTAAATTACGCCAGGCTCTCAGTGACCTGTGCCCATGCCTATGACCTGCTCAGCTCTGCCCTGGGCTACTGTCCTTCCTCATTGTCCTGACAGGGACACCCACGTACAGCCTGTCTGATGCTCCCAGGCTCAGCTCCCTGCTCCTCTTCTCTGTGAAACCTGGCTTCATCAGCTTCCAGACCACTTTCAGGCCCAGAAGAGGACCCCTGGGGTGCTGTTCAGCCTTCCTCTGGAGATGTCCTTGCTGCACCAGGCATGACACTGTGGGGCTCCATCTACGGTTTTATTCCCCTGGGCAGCTGCACTCAGGGCTTCAGCCTGTCTGGTCTCTGCCTTCCCCTGAAGGATGAGCTGGCTTTGAAAGCCTCAGACTTCCATCATCCTAGTAGGGTTGGCTTCTTTATATCAGCAGGAGGTTGGTGAAGTCTGGAGTCTTAGTTTCCTGTAAACCACTGCCACTGGGAGCAGTGAGGTTAAGGGGGGTGAAGGGGAAGGGATCCAGCCCAGAGCCCACCCCTGTGGCCTTCCCAACTCTGCTTTCCTCACATAGCTGCCGGGAGGCACAGAGAGCCGGACTCCAAGGCCACTCCGGCACCTGCACGGCCCTGTGACACTGGCCTCTCCTCTCCTCGTGTGGTCCAGACCTCAGCTTCATTGTGCAGGCACAGAGAGAAGTTCCTTCCCTGAGGGAGGAGGCTCAGACTCTGATGTGTCCTCACAGGTAGGGCTGCCTCTTCAACAGTCAGGAAAGGACTTTGTAAATCTGAGAATGCCAGGCCTTGATTTCTGAGGTCCTTATACAAGGTCTCACAGCCAAACAGAACATGGTTACCATTTATCAAGGGGTTGCAGAGGTGCAATCAGTTAGTCCGCAGTACTTATGTCAAGGAGTTGCTATGGAACAGGTCTAATGCGCAGCTCCTGCCAAATTGGTTTTCTGAGGATCTCTAGAACAGGTCATAGCCATTCCCAGCTCCACAGCTTTGCATGCACCTTCCCTCTCACTTTCCTACCTGCAAGCCCAAGCACACTGAACACCTGGGTTAGTCATTGCTGCCCACCTGTGAACTCCTACACATCCATCAATACCCAGAGACCTTCAACCTCTGTGAAACCCCTGGGCTCCTTCAACTTGCCCGGATGTTCCTTCCTTTTGCCAGAGGGTGCCTTGGTGTTCTACAACAGTAATAACTCCAACTCACAGCAGTGCACACTAACCTCTGCACTGAATACTTCAGTGGACGATCCATCAGTATTCACCAGGGCCCTCTGAGGTAGACATTTTTTACCATTCTCGATGTATAGAAGGGAAACTGAGGCAAAGGTTTGATAGGTGGCATCACAGGGGTTGGCGCTTGGCACTCCCTGTTCAGCCACCCAGATGCCAGTGAGAACTCATCAAACACCTTTCAAGCTCCTCCCACTGCCAGCCACCCTTCTGCACTGGCCGTACCACAATGGCAGAAGTGACCGACACGATATTGACCACACAGTACTGCAGAGCCACCGCGTCATGGGGTGTGGTCACGTAGCGCAGCACAGTGCCGTGGAGGATAGCAGCTGCAACGAAGCTCAAGTGGCCCAGCACCACCATCACCAAGCCCGCCTTCAGCAGCACCTTCCGGAAGTCGTCCACATTCAGGCCACCTGTGGGGACAGCCAAGTCAGGGCCAGGGTGAGGGTCAGCCTGCTGGGCTCTGGAGAATAACAACAGTGGGTCCTGAGTCTATTTCTAGATGACCTGAGCCCAGAAACTTCTCTGAGTCTCAAGTTTCCTCCTCTGTAATGAGATTCACAGCTCCTTTGTGAGAGTCCCAGGGACTCAGGTCTCCAGCTCTGGACTCAATGCCCCCAGGGCTCCTCATTCATTCATTCATTCATTCATTCATTTATTCATTCATTCATGTGTTCATTACACATATGTCCATTGAGCACCTCCTCGGGTACCAGGGTGAGCTTGACAGTCACTGTTGAGGCCCCAGCCTACTGGGCAGGGATCAGGCCCTGATTGGTATTCAGTTTGGTAGGCAGGACCTGACCTGGCACACACGGTAGGTGCTCAACCCAGGTGTGGAGCTGAAGTGCCTGGAGGCTGGTGACTCCCTCGGGCCTCTGGGTCTGCATCTGCCCGGCTGTTGGGAGGGAGAATTTTTTTTTTTTTTTCAGAACCGGGGATTGAACTCAGGCCCTTGCACTTGCAAGGGAAGAGCTTATTCCTCCGAGCCATCTCCCCGGCCCAAGGGTGAATTCTAAGTGGCCCCATCAGCTCTTCTCCTCTCATCTGGGGAACAGGGAGGCCCCCTCCTCAGGCAGGCAGCTGCTATCTGCAGTTCTGTAATGGCTCCTGTCTCTGCCCCCAAGGACACACAGCTGGCCCCGCGCTCCCTCACTCAGCCATCCAGGACTGGAAGATGGTGGGCGGCCAGTGCCAAATGACCCCCCCTTCCTTTAGCTGCTCTCTTGGAATCTGACTTTGAGTCCTGCCCTAGGCCTCAGTCTCTCCACCTGTGGCAGAGGGCTGATCAAATTTTGTACATGTTGGGGCCAGGGAGATGGCTCAGTGGAATAAGTGCTTCTCTGGCAAGCGCAAGGGCCTGAGTTCAATCCCTGGTTCCGCAAAAACAACAAAAAAAACTTTATACATGTACAGGATACAGAAGCTAAATTTAAAAATGAAGAAAAGACAAAATGGAAAAAAGCAATCACTCACTGGATGCACTTGGGACTCTATGCCAAGAGGCAATCCCAGGAAGCAGGGAGGCAGCAGCTGCTGAGGAAAGGGCCCCTCTTCCACCCAGCACCAACCCCTCCTCTCTGCGGCCCCAGATTCCCTAGATATAAAACAGGCAGGGGACCCAGGAGGTGTGGCGCAGTGTTGGAGCAGCTTGGTGGGGTGTTGGCTTCCATCTCCGGCACCAACAAAGCAAAGCAAAACAAAATCCAGATGAGGGCAGGTCTAGCTGGCCTCTGAAACCCCTGGAGCCTGTGAGCCCCTCTGAGCCCTCTGGACCAAGTGGAAGAGAAGCAGAGGGCAGAGGATGGCTGGACGGGCACAGCAGGGCTGGACTGGCCTGCTCAGAGGAACAGCGAGCCAAACAGGAAGGGGCATGGCACTTGGTTCTCCCTCCACCCACCTACTTGGCAAGACCTGGCTCAGACCTGGGCTGAGATCCCGGCTTGATATCAGCAGCATCCCGGGACCAAGAGTTTGATCAAATGGGGACACAGTGGCAGCTTGGGGCTATGATTACAGCACTGGACAGAGTCTCAGAGCAGTTCCTTTATTTCCAGCTCAGACTCTGGGAGCTTTTATTAACGTGGATGGCACACTTTGCTCTCAGGAGGTAACTTCTTTTTTTTTTTTTTGAACCGGGGATTGAACTCAGGTCCTTGCACTTGCCAGGGAAGCATTTATTCTACTGAACTATCTCCCCAGCCCCTGGTAACTTCATATTGATAAGCAAGTGCTAGGTGATGGGTGCCACTATCCCCATTTTACAGATAAAGAAACTGAGGCCCACAGGTCTCTTGGCCAGAGTGGGGACTCTGGAGAACAGGCTGATGCCCAAGAACAGTATCCCGGTGCTCATGGGGACAGTGGGGCAAGCCGGTGTCTGCTTTGATCCCATCTGAGACCCTTTGGCAAAGCTGAGGGGCATCAGCCCTGGGCCCCGGGCTCTGCTCTTTGCTCCCACCCCGGTGACAGGTTCTGCACCTCTGTCCCATCCAGGGCTCCTGGGGCAGTGTGCCCCTCAGCAAGAAAGGAACGTGGAGCCACACTGAGCAGCTACCCAGCAGCCCTCCCTCCATCTCACTGCTGGGGAACCTAAGGCCCGCGCCAGGAAAGTAGCCCATCCCAGGTCAGGAAGTGAGTTAGAGGAGCAGGGGCCCGGACCTCGGTCCACCCGGCTGTAGCGCGGCGCCCCCGTGAGGCCCAGAGCCGCCCCGGCGCTCACCGAGGCGCACACACATGTCGCTCGCGCGGTGGCTGCGGCCGGCGTCAGCGCGGTCCCTGAGGCTGCGGGCTGCCCGGGGGCTCCGCTCCCATCCTCGTCGCCCGTCGTCGGCGCGCCCACT